AATTCACCACATTTTACTGAGATGAAAAATAAAGATTGCTGAGAAGAAATGCGTAATTTAAACCCTTATACAGTATCTTAAACCCTAATGGATGATATTTTATAAAATTGTTCGCTGATTGTCAATTTGATTGAACAATTCTCTCAACATTAGGGTGATCAGCTAAGAAGTTGGAAATAATGTATAAATGCACCATTTTACAAAAGATAATTTGAACTAAAAGTTCGAAAAATAATTCATCTAAATACATTCACTGACCAAAGAGATCAATAATATCTCACACACTAACTTTAAATACTCTAACTTGAATTAACGTCCTGGAAGATAATTAGTTAATATTATATTTGATAAATTTATGGCACACCTAAAATAAGATGTTATTCTATTTTAATATAAAAATTTCAAAACCAAAATGGAGCAATTAGTGAAGATAGTCCCATTTAGGAGATTATACTTTTTAAAAGTACATAAACATAACAAAATATAAAATTCCAGAAGAGATTCAGGTGCCTGATATATTGAAAATAGAGATATCTTAATAGGTTATATCATTATAGAAAATAATAGAATCGAAAAAGCAAAAATTGTCGTCAACACTTTTGCACACGATGTAATGCATCATATAGCGAGGAATTGAAATAAATTCGTTCGAAGTATATCAATCGAAGAAATAATTGGTCAAATAAAATGGATGCAATTCTAAATTGAACTTACTAGAGAAACCTGAAGTTTGTAAATCTACAGTTTAAACACTTAAATGTATATATTTATGCGAAATGAAAATGGAAANGAAGTAATGATTGGTTAAATAAAATGACGCGATTCTAGTGAAAGAATTTACTAGAGAAATATGAAATTTCTGGATCTACATTCTGAACACATAAAAGTGTATATTTACGCGAAATGAAAATGGAAAAAGTAAAGTCGTAACATGAAATGTACGACTCTTCACATAGTGAACTTTACGAAGACGTGTGTGAATAGATAAAGTATCAATAGTACCTATTTTATTAGTTTGCCAATACATGAAATTTGATATACATACAATAAATTTGATTATAGCCAACTTATTTGACATGACTATTAATTTTATCATGAAAGATTTAATATGCATGAAACATATAATTAAAGTGATATTATTATGATGGGAATAAATACGCGTTGTACTTTCTTAACTTGATCAAGGTTTTGTCCCATTGGATTTTCGTGACAAAGTTTTTAATGAGACAACATTTGTAGCGCACTAAAGAGAATAATGTACATTTTTTTTCTTCATTAAGATTTTTTCCACATATTTTTTTTCATAAAATTTTAACGAGGTATATTCTTGGTGTAATAAATATTCATAACCTAAAAGACATTTACCTTCAAAATAATACTCTGATATGTATGAGATTTTTGAATAGATCGTCAAGAGCTATTTTTCGAATTATCATGTTACTAAAGTCATCAAATATTGATGAATATTTTGTATGAAGACGATGTTATTTAAATACTATACAATATAACATGAGACATACTTCACTAGAAATTATAATATTGAAAACATTGACATACAAGATAATGATGAATTGCTATAAGAATTGAAATCAAGAGAACCATTGTACTCTTTTTCCATCTATTAAATTTTGTATCAATGGGTTTTCTTGACAATGCTTTAGTTTGGCAGATATTTTGTAATGTATTATTTAAGGGAGAGTTTGTAAATGGTGAATTTATTAGTGAATGACAATTGTACCCCTATAGCACTAAAAATTATTACCATTGCATCTCTAATTCTTTTCTATAAATATGAAATTTTGATTTTCAATAAAATACACACAAAGCTATCAACTTCTCTAATTTCCTCTCTAATTTATAATATATATCTCTATTTATTGAGGTCGGGAATTGAATTAGAAAATAAATCAGAAACAAAGTCGTGCTATCAAATTCTATCAACTTGAATTAAAAAATAAATCAAAAACAATGTCGTGCTATCAAGTTCTAACACGTATTCTTCTTTCTCAATCATGTTTAACTTTATCGAATTGAACTATCAAATATATAGTCCATAAATAAATTAATCATGATTAAGTATGGAAGTCCATCCA